TCATATCTTCTGAGCCAAATTTTTAGTAGAGAAATCTACAGCAAACACTAGTAGAGTAGAGACAAAAATGTATCCAACAAAACTAAGTACAGTATGAATAAAGGAACAAAATAATTACTTTTATAGGTTCTAGTGTAATTAATATAACTCTTGTCCTCTTCTAAATCTTGTCTTTTTAGACTTTGTTTTAGATTTTCAAATTGTATTGAGCGACTTATCTATCAATGGAAATTCGTATAGTTCTTTCTGATATCTTGGAACTTTCTACACAAAGATCACATAAGCTCCACCTCTTGCAATAAGTGCTAAGGTAATTTTGTTTGATTTTTTAAATAATTAAATAAAATATAATATCAATGTTTAGTTATGATGAACAAATAAGCAATATTATAGTAATTTTTAACAAAATTGTCTTCAATATTGCAAAAATGTTTTTATACTTTTTTTCAACAACAAGAGAAAGGACACTCTAGACTTGTTTGGTTTGATATCAAAGAATTTATTTATTTATTTATATGTACATACCAACGGCAGAGCCATTTGAATTAAAGTAATAGCATTAATAGTAGTATAATTATTTAATAGTAAGTATGTTGTACGTCTAACATTTTGACATTCCTTGTTGCAGTCATATCACTGAGGTGACAGTCAATCGTAGCAAAAGTTTATTGAGGGAAGTAACGCAACTGTAGCCTGTACTACGTCAACCTCCTCCAACACTTAAGTCGCAGGTGAATATCCTATGTTTGATAACCTAATAGAAACAAATTAATCAATGGTTGTTTCATAGACTGACACTGTAAAAGGTTTCTTGAGCTAAAACATGAGGAGTTTCCTTCTTTCTAAAACATAATACAGTACCTATACTTTTTGTCATACTGTTGCAAAATCAGCAAATTATAGCTTATTGTTTCACTCCTGTTAATAGTTCAACATATCAACAGTATAATGTACAATAACATAATATAGGTCGGCCGCTTAGAAAACAACCTGCGCAAAATTTTTAGGTAACGGCGAGGGAGGGTATGTTTCCCCTCTCCGCCAATGTCCGTTTTCACACTGCACGACATGACACCGCGGTAGGACACCGACACGGTGCTGCCCCGGTGTTGTGGGAGTTGGAATCATTTGTTACCAAATGGGACTGTTTAGACAATGATATAATAACATTTCATGATGCTCAAATATTGATGCGATTTAGGCTATACAATATTTTTTGCAGGACCAATCTTTCTCAAGTTATAAAGAACGTAATTGTTTACATTTTGATCAGTTGGATAATTTAATAGCTGATAATATTTATAAAAGGTTGGGGGTGGAGCGGCAGCATATTGGGGGAAGGGCCATAGTCTGTCTCACTCCCATAGCTCGGTATCTCTCTTTCCCACCAATGCTATGAGGAGGACGCTTTCCAAGCGGCCAACCTATAGTAATACTGTAGACTGAATTATTGAACCACTTATTAAAAAAGCTGCTCATTTGCTTTAGAAAAATTGAAAACCTTTTTGAAGTTGTTTTGAAAATAAAGTTCATCACAATGGCAAAGTTGTCTTTTCAACCCCTGCTCATTTTCCAACCTCGGGCCATGCCTTTTCATATACTTAGCAGCAATGAATTTAACAATAGTTTTTTCAGTGAAACATACATACGTAATACCGGTAACTACTTTTGTAATCGAATGAAAACATTGGTTTAATTATTTGAAAGTAAATATTTAAATACTTTGTTGCAGATAGCTCACTGTTGTTACCTACCTTGACCTGGACGAGTTGTGAACCGTAAATAAAGATCAACTGTAACACTAAGGGGATTCAACAATCGATAGTGTGAAGGAAGCAGCAATCTGGATTCCCCTTTTTGCAGGTTTTTGGTTACTGTCGTACTAGTATTACATTTATTTATATTGGGTATGTCTTTGGCAATCACCCTTAAGATTGATTCTTAGAAACACAGAAGAAATCCTGGTCAATTAGAACTGGTTGTTTGACATAATGGCTAAAAAGAATTGCAACAGCAGTTATCATAGTTGAAAACACATATAGTGGTGATATGAACTACGAAGAAATCAAGGGGTACTTTGGCCTGGAAAGGTTATGAAATACGACAAGTAGTCAACAATTCCTTATTTACCCTGGAACGGACCGATACACGGGACTGTGATTTATGCAGTTCTATGATTCTGCAGTTTGCAAGTTTTCTGGGTCCTGTCCTATCAAACATTATGTGGATTTGTTACGAGGGGAACCGATGACTTGTAATCTTGCAGACTCCTAGCACTATATTTATTGCAGACTCTAAAATCAGTTCATCTCAGAGTTCAGAAGGTATCGTACACCTCTTGTTGTTCCTTCATAACTCTTCTGAGTCAAATTTTCAGGTGATGAATCAGCAGCAAACACAAGTTCCAAGTATTAGTATTTTATATTACTACTCTTATTACATATGAAACTCTAGTCAATAGATAATCACAATCAATGTGAAATATATCATAGAGTAAGGGAAAGATTTGAACTTCAAAGTATGCAATTGATCATCTTTTGCTATGTATATGTTTATAGATCGCAAAACAAAAACATAGAAAAATATGATGGTTTTACAGGAAAGAATTCAAGGTGTACTTTGGTCTGGAAAGGTTATGAAATACAACAAGTAGTCAACAATTCCTTATTTACCCTGGAACGAACCGACACTTGGGACTGTGATTTATATAGTTCTATGATTCTGCAGTTTGCAAGTTTTCTGGGTCCTGTCCTATCAAACTTTAACGTGCATGCTTGTGGATTTGTTACGAGGGGAACCGATTACCTGTAATCCTGTGGACTCATAGCACTACATTTATTTCAGACTCTAAAATCAGTTCATCCCAGAGTTCAGAAGGTCTTGTGCACCGTGTGTTTGTGTCCTGTATTATTGTCCATATTTATTTATTGCATGTTATTGCCTGTTATTTTTTGCATGTATATATTGCCTGTTTTTTTTTTGCATGTATATATTGCTTGCCGTATTTATAGCTTGCATTTATAGCCTTGTCTACCCTGGAACAGACCGATACACGGGACTGTTATTTATGCAGTTCTATGATTCTGCAGTTTGCAAGTTTTCTGGGTCCTGTCCTATCAAACTTTAACGTGCATGCTTGTGGATTTGTTACGAGGGGAACCGATGACCTGTAATCTTGTGGACTCGTAGCACTACATTTATTTCAGACTCTAAAGTCAGTTCATCCCAGAGTTCAGAAGGTCTTGAGCACCGTGTGTTTGTGTCCTGTATTATTGTCTGTATTTATTTATTGCATGTTATTGCCTATTTTTTTTGCATGTACATATTGCTTGCCTGTAGCTTGCCGTATTTATAGATTGCATTTATAGCCTTGTCTACCCTGGAACAGACCGATACACGGGACTGTTATTTATGCAGTTCTATGATTCTGCAGTTTGCAAGTTTTCTGGGTCCTGTCCTATCAAACTTTAACGTGCATGCTTGTGGATTTGTTACGAGGGGAACCGATGACCTGTAATCTTGTGGACTCGTAGCACTACATTTATTTCAGACTCTAAAGTCAGTTCATCCCAGAGTACAGAAGGTCTTGAGCACCGTGTGTTTGTGTCCTGTATTATTGTCTGTATTTATTTATTGCATGTTATTGCCTATTTTTTTTTGCATGTACATATTGCTTGCCTGTAGCTTGCCGTATTTATAGCTTGCATTTATAGCCTTGTCTACCCTGGAACGGACCGACACACGGGACTGTTATTTATGCAGTTCTATGATTCTGCAGTTTGCAAGTTTTCTGGGTCCTGTCCTATCAAACTTTAACGTGCATGCTTGTGGATTTGTTACGAGGGGAACCGATGACCTGTAATCTTGTGGACTCGTAGCACTACATTTATTTCAGACTCTAAAGTCAGTTCATCTCAGAGTTCAGAAGGTCTTGAGCACCGTGTGTTTGTGTCCATTTATTGCATGTATATATTGCTTGTTATTTTTTGCATGTATATATTGCCTGTTTTTTTTTTGCATGTATATATTGCTTGCCTGTAGCTTGCCGTATTTATAGCTTGCATTTATAGCCTTGTCTACCCTGGAACGGACCGATACACGGGACTGTTATTTATGCAGTTCTATGATTCTGCAGTTTGCAAGTTTTCTGGGTCCTGTCCTATCAAACTTTAACGTGCATGCTTGTGGATTTGTTACGAGGGGAACCGATGACCTGTAATCTTGCAGACTCCTAGCACTACATTTATTTCAGACTCTAAAATCAGTTCATCTCAGAGTTCAGAAGGTATCGTACACCTCTTGTTGTTCCTTCATAACTCTTCTCAGCCAAATTTTCAGGTGATGAATCTCTAGCAAACACAAGTTCCAAGTATTACCATTTTATATTACTACTCTATTACATATGGAAATAGTCTGGAAAAAATCACAAACAATGCGTGAAATCATAGTGAAAGAAAAATGTTGGAACTCATATCTTCTGAGCCAAATTTTTAGTAGAGAAATCTACAGCAAACACTAGTAGAGTAGAGACAAAAATGTATCCAACAAAACTAAGTACAGTATGAATAAAGGAACAAAATAATTACTCTTATAGGTTCTAGTGTAATTAATATAACTCTTGTCCTCTTCTAAATCTTGTCTTTTTAGACTTTGTTTTAGATTTTCAAATTGTATTGAGCGACTTATCTATCAATGGAAATTCGTATAGTTCTTTCTGATATCTTGGAACTTTCTACACGAAGATCACATAAGCTCCACCTCTTGCAATAAGTGCTAAGGTAATTTTGTTTGATTTTTTAAATAATTAAATAAAATATAATATCAATGTTTAGTTATGATGAACAAATAAGCAATATTATAGTAATTTTTAACAAAATTGTCTTCAATATTGCAAAAATGTTTTTATACTTTTTTTCAACAACAAGAGAAAGGACACTCTAGACTTGTTTGGTTTGATATCAAAGAATTTATTTATTTATTTATATGTACATACCAACGGCAGAGCCATTTGAATTAAAGTAATAGCATTAATAGTAGTATAATTATTTAATAGTAAGTATGTTGTACGTCTAACATTTTGACATTCCTTGTTGCAGTCATATCACTGAGGTGACAGTCAATCGTAGCAAAAGTTTATTGAGGGAAGTAACGCAACTGTAGCCTGCACTACGTCAACCTCCTCCAACACTTAAGTCGCAGGTGAATATCCTATGTTTGATAACCTAATAGAAACAAATTAATCAATGGTTGTTTCATAGACTGACACTGTAAAAGGTTTCTTGAGCTAAAACATGAGGAGTTTCCTTCTTTCTAAAACATAATACAGTATACTTTTTGTCATACTGTTGCAAAATCAGCAAATTATAGCTTATTGTTTCACTCCTGTTAATAGTTCAACATATCAACAGTATAATGTACAATAACATAATATAGGTCGGCCGCTTAGAAAACAACCTGCGCAAAATTTTTAGGTAACGGCGAGGGAGGGTATGTTTCCCCTCTCCGCCAATGTCCGTTTTCACACTGCACGACATGACACCGCGGTAGGACACCGACACGGTGCTGCCCCGGTGTTGTGGGAGTTGGAATCATTTGTTACCAAATGGGACTGTTTAGACAATGATATAATAACATTTCATGATGCTCAAATATTGATGCGATTTAGGCTATACAATATTTTTTGCAGGACCAATCTTTCTCAAGTTATAAAGAACGTAATTGTTTACATTTTGATCAGTTGGATAATTTAATAGCTGATAATATTTTAAAAGGTTGGGGGTGGAGCGGCAGCATATTGGGGGAAGGGCCATAGTCTGTCTCACTCCCATAGCTCGGTATCTCTCTTTCCCACCAATGCTATGAGGAGGACGCTTTCCAAGCGGCCAACCTATAGTAATACTGTAGACTGAATTATTGAACCACTTATTAAAAAAGCTGCTCATTTGCTTTAGAAAAATTGAAAACCTTTTTGAAGTTGTTTTGAAAATAAAGTTCATCACAATGGCAAAGTTGTCTTTTCAACCCCTGCTCATTTTCCAACCTCGGGCCATGCCTTTTCATATACTTAGCAGCAATGAATTTAACAATAGTTTTTTCAGTGAAACATACATACGTAATACCGGTAACTACTTTTGTAATCGAATGAAAACATTGGTTTAATTATTTGAAAGTAAATATTTAAATACTTTGTTGCAGATAGCTCACTGTTGTTACCTACCTTGACCTGGACGAGTTGTGAACCGTAAATAAAGATCAACTGTAACACTAAGGGGATTCAACAATCGATAGTGTGAAGGAAGCAGCAATCTGGATTCCCCTTTTTGCAGGTTTTTGGTTACTGTCGTACTAGTATTACATTTATTTATATTGGGTATGTCTTTGGCAATCACCCTTAAGATTGATTCTTAGAAACACAGAAGAAATACCGGTCAATTAGAACTGGTTGTTTGACATAATGGCTAAAAAGAATTGCAATAGCAGTTATCAAAGTTGAAAACACATATAGTGGTGATATGAACTACGAAGAAATCAAGGGGTACTTTGGCCTGGAAAGGTTATGAAATACGACAAGTAGTCAACAATTCCTTATTTACCCTGGAACGGACCGATACACGGGACTGTGATTTATGCAGTTCTATGATTCTGCAGTTTGCAAGTTTTCTGGGTCCTGTCCTATCAAACATTATGTGGATTTGTTACGAGGGGAACCGATGACTTGAAATCTTGCAGACTCCTAGCACTATATTTATTGCAGACTCTAAAATCAGTTCATCTCAGAGTTCAGAAGGTATCGTACACCTCTTGTTGTTCCTTCATAACTCTTCTGAGTCAAATTTTCAGGTGATGAATCAGCAGCAAACACAAGTTCCAAGTATTAGTATTTTATATTACTACTCTTATTACATATGAAACTCTAGTCAATAGATAATCACAATCAATGTGAAATATATCATAGAGTAAGGGAAAGATTTGAACTTCAAAGTATGCAATTGATCATCTTTTGCTATGTATATGTTTATAGATCGCAAAACAAAAACATAGAAAAATATGATGGTTTTACAGGAAAGAATTCAAGGTGTACTTTGGTCTGGAAAGGTTATGAAATACAACAAGTAGTCAACAATTCCTTATTTACCCTGGAACGAACCGACACTTGGGACTGTGATTTATATAGTTCTATGATTCTGCAGTTTGCAAGTTTTCTGGGTCCTGTCCTATCAAACTTTAACGTGCATGCTTGTGGATTTGTTACGAGGGGAACCGATTACCTGTAATCCTGTGGACTCATAGCACTACATTTATTTCAGACTCTAAAATCAGTTCATCCCAGAGTTCAGAAGGTCTTGTGCACCGTGTGTTTGTGTCCTGTATTATTGTCCATATTTATTTATTGCATGTTATTGCCTGTTATTTTTTGCATGTATATATTGCCTGTTTTTTTTTTGCATGTATATATTGCTTGCCGTATTTATAGCTTGCATTTATAGCCTTGTCTACCCTGGAACAGACCGATACACGGGACTGTTATTTATGCAGTTCTATGATTCTGCAGTTTGCAAGTTTTCTGGGTCCTGTCCTATCAAACTTTAACGTGCATGCTTGTGGATTTGTTACGAGGGGAACCGATGACCTGTAATCTTGTGGACTCGTAGCACTACATTTATTTCAGACTCTAAAGTCAGTTCATCCCAGAGTTCAGAAGGTCTTGAGCACCGTGTGTTTGTGTCCTGTATTATTGTCTGTATTTATTTATTGCATGTTATTGCCTATTTTTTTTGCATGTACATATTGCTTGCCTGTAGCTTGCCGTATTTATAGATTGCATTTATAGCCTTGTCTACCCTGGAACAGACCGATACACGGGACTGTTATTTATGCAGTTCTATGATTCTGCAGTTTGCAAGTTTTCTGGGTCCTGTCCTATCAAACTTTAACGTGCATGCTTGTGGATTTGTTACGAGGGGAACCGATGACCTGTAATCTTGCAGACTCCTAGCACTACATTTATTTCAGACTCTAAAATCAGTTCATCTCAGAGTTCAGAAGGTATCGTACACCTCTTGTTGTTCCTTCATAACTCTTCTCAGCCAAATTTTCAGGTGATGAATCTCTAGCAAACACAAGTTCCAAGTATTACCATTTTATATTACTACTCTATTACATATGGAAATAGTCTGGAAAAAATCACAAACAATGCGTGAAATCATAGTGAAAGAAAAATGTTGGAACTCATATCTTCTGAGCCAAATTTTTAGTAGAGAAATCTACAGCAAACACTAGTAGAGTAGAGACAAAAATGTATCCAACAAAACTAAGTACAGTATGAATAAAGGAACAAAATAATTACTCTTATAGGTTCTAGTGTAATTAATATAACTCTTGTCCTCTTCTAAATCTTGTCTTTTTAGACTTTGTTTTAGATTTTCAAATTGTATTGAGCGACTTATCTATCAATGGAAATTCGTATAGTTCTTTCTGATATCTTGGAACTTTCTACACGAAGATCACATAAGCTCCACCTCTTGCAATAAGTGCTAAGGTAATTTTGTTTGATTTTTTAAATAATTAAATAAAATATAATATCAATGTTTAGTTATGATGAACAAATAAGCAATATTATAGTAATTTTTAACAAAATTGTCTTCAATATTGCAAAAATGTTTTTATACTTTTTTTCAACAACAAGAGAAAGGACACTCTAGACTTGTTTGGTTTGATATCAAAGAATTTATTTATTTATTTATATGTACATACCAACGGCAGAGCCATTTGAATTAAAGTAATAGCATTAATAGTAGTATAATTATTTAATAGTAAGTATGTTGTACGTCTAACATTTTGACATTCCTTGTTGCAGTCATATCACTGAGGTGACAGTCAATCGTAGCAAAAGTTTATTGAGGGAAGTAACGCAACTGTAGCCTGCACTACGTCAACCTCCTCCAACACTTAAGTCGCAGGTGAATATCCTATGTTTGATAACCTAATAGAAACAAATTAATCAATGGTTGTTTCATAGACTGACACTGTAAAAGGTTTCTTGAGCTAAAACATGAGGAGTTTCCTTCTTTCTAAAACATAATACAGTATACTTTTTGTCATACTGTTGCAAAATCAGCAAATTATAGCTTATTGTTTCACTCCTGTTAATAGTTCAACATATCAACAGTATAATGTACAATAACATAATATAGGTCGGCCGCTTAGAAAACAACCTGCGCAAAATTTTTAGGTAACGGCGAGGGAGGGTATGTTTCCCCTCTCCGCCAATGTCCGTTTTCACACTGCACGACATGACACCGCGGTAGGACACCGACACGGTGCTGCCCCGGTGTTGTGGGAGTTGGAATCATTTGTTACCAAATGGGACTGTTTAGACAATGATATAATAACATTTCATGATGCTCAAATATTGATGCGATTTAGGCTATACAATATTTTTTGCAGGACCAATCTTTCTCAAGTTATAAAGAACGTAATTGTTTACATTTTGATCAGTTGGATAATTTAATAGCTGATAATATTTTAAAAGGTTGGGGGTGGAGCGGCAGCATATTGGGGGAAGGGCCATAGTCTGTCTCACTCCCATAGCTCGGTATCTCTCTTTCCCACCAATGCTATGAGGAGGACGCTTTCCAAGCGGCCAACCTATAGTAATACTGTAGACTGAATTATTGAACCACTTATTAAAAAAGCTGCTCATTTGCTTTAGAAAAATTGAAAACCTTTTTGAAGTTGTTTTGAAAATAAAGTTCATCACAATGGCAAAGTTGTCTTTTCAACCCCTGCTCATTTTCCAACCTCGGGCCATGCCTTTTCATATACTTAGCAGCAATGAATTTAACAATAGTTTTTTCAGTGAAACATACATACGTAATACCGGTAACTACTTTTGTAATCGAATGAAAACATTGGTTTAATTATTTGAAAGTAAATATTTAAATACTTTGTTGCAGATAGCTCACTGTTGTTACCTACCTTGACCTGGACGAGTTGTGAACCGTAAATAAAGATCAACTGTAACACTAAGGGGATTCAACAATCGATAGTGTGAAGGAAGCAGCAATCTGGATTCCCCTTTTTGCAGGTTTTTGGTTACTGTCGTACTAGTATTACATTTATTTATATTGGGTATGTCTTTGGCAATCACCCTTAAGATTGATTCTTAGAAACACAGAAGAAATACCGGTCAATTAGAACTGGTTGTTTGACATAATGGCTAAAAAGAATTGCAATAGCAGTTATCAAAGTTGAAAACACATATAGTGGTGATATGAACTACGAAGAAATCAAGGGGTACTTTGGCCTGGAAAGGTTATGAAATACGACAAGTAGTCAACAATTCCTTATTTACCCTGGAACGGACCGATACACGGGACTGTGATTTATGCAGTTCTATGATTCTGCAGTTTGCAAGTTTTCTGGGTCCTGTCCTATCAAACATTATGTGGATTTGTTACGAGGGGAACCGATGACTTGAAATCTTGCAGACTCCTAGCACTATATTTATTGCAGACTCTAAAATCAGTTCATCTCAGAGTTCAGAAGGTATCGTACACCTCTTGTTGTTCCTTCATAACTCTTCTGAGTCAAATTTTCAGGTGATGAATCAGCAGCAAACACAAGTTCCAAGTATTAGTATTTTATATTACTACTCTTATTACATATGAAACTCTAGTCAATAGATAATCACAATCAATGTGAAATATATCATAGAGTAAGGGAAATATTTGAACTTCAAAGTATGCAATTGATCATCTTTTGCTATGTATATGTTTATAGATCGCAAAACAAAAACATAGAAAAATATGATGGTTTTACAGGAAAGAATTCAAGGTGTACTTTGGTCTGGAAAGGTTATGAAATACAACAAGTAGTCAACAATTCCTTATTTACCCTGGAACGAACCGACACTTGGGACTGTGATTTATATAGTTCTATGATTCTGCAGTTTGCAAGTTTTCTGGGTCCTGTCCTATCAAACTTTAACGTGCATGCTTGTGGATTTGTTACGAGGGGAACCGATTACCTGTAATCCTGTGGACTCATAGCACTACATTTATTTCAGACTCTAAAATCAGTTCATCCCAGAGTTCAGAAGGTCTTGTGCACCGTGTGTTTGTGTCCTGTATTATTGTCCATATTTATTTATTGCATGTTATTGCCTGTTATTTTTTGCATGTATATATTGCCTGTTTTTTTTTTTTGCATGTATATATTGCTTGCCGTATTTATAGCTTGCATTTATAGCCTTGTCTACCCTGGAACAGACCGATACACGGGACTGTTATTTATGCAGTTCTATGATTCTGCAGTTTGCAAGTTTTCTGGGTCCTGTCCTATCAAACTTTAACGTGCATGCTTGTGGATTTGTTACGAGGGGAACCGATGACCTGTAATCTTGTGGACTCGTAGCACTACATTTATTTCAGACTCTAAAGTCAGTTCATCCCAGAGTTCAGAAGGTCTTGAGCACCGTGTGTTTGTGTCCTGTATTATTGTCTGTATTTATTTATTGCATGTTATTGCCTATTTTTTTTTGCATGTACATATTGCTTGCCTGTAGCTTGCCGTATTTATAGCTTGCATTTATAGCCTTGTCTACCCTGGAACGGACCGACACACGGGACTGTTATTTATGCAGTTCTATGATTCTGCAGTTTGCAAGTTTTCTGGGTCCTGTCCTATCAAACTTTAACGTGCATGCTTGTGGATTTGTTACGAGGGGAACCGATGACCTGTAATCTTGTGGACTCGTAGCACTACATTTATTTCAGACTCTAAAGTCAGTTCATCTCAGAGTTCAGAAGGTCTTGAGCACCGTGTGTTTGTGTCCATTTATAGCATGTATATATTGCTTGTTATTTTTTGCATGTATATATTGCCTGTTTTTTTTTTGCATGTATATATTGCTTGCCTGTAGCTTGCCGTATTTATAGCTTGCATTTATAGCCTTGTCTACCCTGGAACGGACCGATACACGGGACTGTTATTTATGCAGTTCTATGATTCTGCAGTTTGCAAGTTTTCTGGGTCCTGTCCTATCAAACTTTAACGTGCATGCTTGTGGATTTGTTACGAGGGGAACCGATGACCTGTAATCTTGCAGACTCCTAGCACTACATTTATTTCAGACTCTAAAATCAGTTCATCTCAGAGTTCAGAAGGTATCGTACACCTCTTGTTGTTCCTTCATAACTCTTCTCAGCCAAATTTTCAGGTGATGAATCTCTAGCAAACACAAGTTCCAAGTATTACCATTTTATATTACTACTCTATTACATATGGAAATAGTCTGGAAAAAATCACAAACAATGCGTGAAATCATAGTGAAAGAAAAATGTTGGAACTCATATCTTCTGAGCCAAATTTTTAGTAGAGAAATCTACAGCAAACACTAGTAGAGTAGAGACAAAAATGTATCCAACAAAACTAAGTACAGTATGAATAAAGGAACAAAATAATTACTCTTATAGGTTCTAGTGTAATTAATATAACTCTTGTCCTCTTCTAAATCTTGTCTTTTTAGACTTTGTTTTAGATTTTCAAATTGTATTGAGCGACTTATCTATCAATGGAAATTCGTATAGTTCTTTCTGATATCTTGGAACTTTCTACACGAAGATCACATAAGCTCCACCTCTTGCAATAAGTGCTAAGGTAATTTTGTTTGATTTTTTAAATAATTAAATAAAATATAATATCAATGTTTAGTTATGATGAACAAATAAGCAATATTATAGTAATTTTTAACAAAATTGTCTTCAATATTGCAAAAATGTTTTTATACTTTTTTTCAACAACAAGAGAAAGGACACTCTAGACTTGTTTGGTTTGATATCAAAGAATTTATTTATTTATTTATATGTACATACCAACGGCAGAGCCATTTGAATTAAAGTAATAGCATTAATAGTAGTATAATTATTTAATAGTAAGTATGTTGTACGTCTAACATTTTGACATTCCTTGTTGCAGTCATATCACTGAGGTGACAGTCAATCGTAGCAAAAGTTTATTGAGGGAAGTAACGCAACTGTAGCCTGCACTACGTCAACCTCCTCCAACACTTAAGTCGCAGGTGAATATCCTATGTTTGATAACCTAATAGAAACAAATTAATCAATGGTTGTTTCATAGACTGACACTGTAAAAGGTTTCTTGAGCTAAAACATGAGGAGTTTCCTTCTTTCTAAAACATAATACAGTATACTTTTTGTCATACTGTTGCAAAATCAGCAAATTATAGCTTATTGTTTCACTCCTGTTAATAGTTCAACATATCAACAGTATAATGTACAATAACATAATATAGGTCGGCCGCTTAGAAAACAACCTGCGCAAAATTTTTAGGTAACGGCGAGGGAGGGTATGTTTCCCCTCTCCGCCAATGTCCGTTTTCACACTGCACGACATGACACCGCGGTAGGACACCGACACGGTGCTGCCCCGGTGTTGTGGGAGTTGGAATCATTTGTTACCAAATGGGACTGTTTAGACAATGATATAATAACATTTCATGATGCTCAAATATTGATGCGATTTAGGCTATACAATATTTTTTGCAGGACCAATCTTTCTCAAGTTATAAAGAACGTAATTGTTTACATTTTGATCAGTTGGATAATTTAATAGCTGATAATATTTATAAAAGGTTGGGGGTGGAGCGGCAGCATATTGGGGGAAGGGCCATAGTCTGTCTCACTCCCATAGCTCGGTATCTCTCTTTCCCACCAATGCTATGAGGAGGACGCTTTCCAAGCGGCCAACCTATAGTAATACTGTAGACTGAATTATTGAACCACTTATTAAAAAAGCTGCTCATTTGCTTTAGAAAAATTGAAAACCTTTTTGAAGTTGTTTTGAAAATAAAGTTCATCACAATGGCAAAGTTGTCTTTTCAACCCCTGCTCATTTTCCAACCTCGGGCCATGCCTTTTCATATACTTAGCAGCAATGAATTTAACAATAGTTTTTTCAGTGAAACATACATACGTAATACCGGTAACTACTTTTGTAATCGAATGAAAACATTGGTTTAATTATTTGAAAGTAAATATTTAAATACTTTGTTGCAGATAGCTCACTGTTGTTACCTACCTTGACCTGGACGAGTTGTGAACCGTAAATAAAGATCAACTGTAACACTAAGAGGATTCAACAATCGATAGTGTGAAGGAAGCAGCAATCTGGATTCCCCTTTTTGCAGGTTTTTGGTTACTGTCGTACTAGTATTACATTTATTTATATTGGGTATGTCTTTGGCAATCACCCTTAAGATTGATTCTTAGAAACACAGAAGAAATACCGGTCAATTAGAACTGGTTGTTTGACATAATGGCTAAAAAGAATTGCAATAGCAGTTATCAAAGTTGAAAACACATATAGTGGTGATATGAACTACGAAGAAATCAAGGGGTACTTTGGCCTGGAAAGGTTATGAAATACGACAAGTAGTCAACAATTCCTTATTTACCCTGGAACGGACCGATACACGGGACTGTGATTTATGCAGTTCTATGATTCTGCAGTTTGCAAGTTTTCTGGGTCCTGTCCTATCAAACATTATGTGGATTTGTTACGAGGGGAACCGATGACTTGTAATCTTGCAGACTCCTAGCACTATATTTATTGCAGACTCTAAAATCAGTTCATCTCAGAGTTCAGAAGGTATCGTACACCTCTTGTTGTTCCTTCATAACTCTTCTGAGTCAAATTTTCAGGTGATGAATCAGCAGCAAACACAAGTTCCAAGTATTAGTATTTTATATTACTACTCTTATTACATATGAAACTCTAGTCAATAGATAATCACAATCAATGTGAAATATATCATAGAGTAAGGGAAAGATTTGAACTTCAAAGTATGCAATTGATCATCTTTTGCTATGTATATGTTTATAGATCGCAAAACAAAAACATAGAAAAATATGATGGTTTTACAGGAAAGAATTCAAGGTGTACTTTGGTCTGGAAAGGTTATGAAATACAACAAGTAGTCAACAATTCCTTATTTACCCTGGAACGAACCGACACTTGGGACTGTGATTTATATAGTTCTATGATTCTGCAGTTTGCAAGTTTTCTGGGTCCTGTCCTATCAAACTTTAACGTGCATGCTTGTGGATTTGTTACGAGGGGAACCGATTACCTGTAATCCTGTGGACTCATAGCACTACATTTATTTCAGACTCTAAAATCAGTTCATCCCAGAGTTCAGAAGGTCTTGTGCACCGTGTGTTTGTGTCCTGTATTATTGTCCATATTTATTTATTGCATGTTATTGCCTGTTATTTTTTGCATGTATATATTGCCTGTTTTTTTTTTTGCATGTATATATTGCTTGCCGTATTTATAGCTTGCATTTATAGCCTTGTCTACCCTGGAACAGACCGATACACGGGACTGTTATTTATGCAGTTCTATGATTCTGCAGTTTGCAAGTTTTCTGGGTCCTGTCCTATCAAACTTTAACGTGCATGCTTGTGGATTTGTTACGAGGGGAACCGATGACCTGTAATCTTGTGGACTCGTAGCACTACATTTATTTCAGACTCTAAAGTCAGTTCATCCCAGAGTTCAGAAGGTCTTGAGCACCGTGTGTTTGTGTCCTGTATTATTGTCTGTATTTATTTATTGCATGTTATTGCCTATTTTTTTTTGCATGTACATATTGCTTGCCTGTAGCTTGCCGTATTTATAGCTTGCATTTATAGCCTTGTCTACCCTGGAACGGACCGACACACGGGACTGTTATTTATGCAGTTCTATGATTCTGCAGTTTGCAAGTTTTCTGGGTCCTGTCCTATCAAACTTTAACGTGCATGCTTGTGGATTTGTTACGAGGGGAACCGATGACCTGTAATCTTGCAGACTCCTAGCACTACATTTATTTCAGACTCTAAAATCAGTTCATCTCAGAGTTCAGAAGGTATCGTACACCTCTTGTTGTTCCTTCATAACTCTTCTCAGCCAAATTTTCAGGTGATGAATCTCTAGCAAACACAAGTTCCAAGTATTACCATTTTATATTACTACTCTATTACATATGGAAATAGTCTGGAAAAAATCACAAACAATGCGTGAAATCATAGTGAAAGAAAAATGTTGGAACTCATATCTTCTGAGCCAAATTTTTAGTAGAGAAATCTACAGCAAACACTAGTAGAGTAGAGACAAAAATGTATCCAACAAAACTAAGTACAGTATGAATAAAGGAACAAAATAATTACTCTTATAGGTTCTAGTGTAATTAATATAACTCTTGTCCTCTTCTAAATCTTGTCTTTTTAGACTTTGTTTTAGATTTTCAAATTGTATTGAGCGACTTATCTATCAATGGAAATTCGTATAGTTCTTTCTGATATCTTGGAACTTTCTACACGAAGATCACATAAGCTCCACCTCTTGCAATAAGTGCTAAGGTAATTTTGTTTGATTTTTTAAATAATTAAATAAAATATAATATCAATGTTTAGTTATGATGAACAAATAAGCAATATTATAGTAATTTTTAACAAAATTGTCTTCAATATTGCAAAAATGTTTTTATACTTTTTTTCAACAACAAGAGAAAGGACACTCTAGACTTGTTTGGTTTGATATCAAAGAATTTATTTATTTATTTATATGTACATACCAACGGCAGAGCCATTTGAATTAAAGTAATAGCATTAATAGTAGTATAATTATTTAATAGTAAGTATGTTGTACGTCTAACATTTTGACATTCCTTGTTGCAGTCATATCACTGAGGTGACAGTCAATCGTAGCAAAAGTTTATTGAGGGAAGTAACGCAACTGTAGCCTGCACTACGTCAACCTCCTCCAACACTTAAGTCGCAGGTGAATATCCTATGTTTGATAACCTAATAGAAACAAATTAATCAATGGTTGTTTCATAGACTGACACTGTAAAAGGTTTCTTGAGCTAAAACATGAGGAGTTTCCTTCTTTCTAAAACATAATACAGTATACTTTTTGTCATACTGTTGCAAAATCAGCAAATTATAGCTTATTGTTTCACTCCTGTTAATAGTTCAACATATCAACAGTATAATGTACAATAACATAATATAGGTCGGCCGCTTAGAAAACAACCTGCGCAAAATTTTTAGGTAACGGCGAGGGAGGGTATGTTTCCCCTCTCCGCCAATGTCCGTTTTCACACTGCACGACATGACACCGCGGTAGGACACCGACACGGTGCTGCCCCGGTGTTGTGGGAGTTGGAATCATTTGTTACCAAATGGGACTGTTTAGACAATGATATAATAACATTTCATGATGCTCAAATATTGATGCGATTTAGGCTATACAATATTTTTTGCAGGACCAATCTTTCTCAAGTTATAAAGAACGTAATTGTTTACATTTTGATCAGTTGGATAATTTAATAGCTGATAATATTTATAAAAGGTTGGGGGTGGAGCGGCAGCATATTGGGGGAAGGGCCATAGTCTGTCTCACTCCCATAGCTCGGTATCTCTCTTTCCCACCAATGCTATGAGGAGGACGCTTTCCAAGCGGCCAACCTATAGTAATACTGTAGACTGAATTATTGAACCACTTATTAAAAAAGCTGCTCATTTGCTTTAGAAAAATTGAAAACCTTTTTGAAGTTGTTTTGAAAATAAAGTTCATCACAATGGCAAAGTTGTCTTTTCAACCCCTGCTCATTTTCCAACCTCGGGCCATGCCTTTTCATATACTTAGCAGCAATGAATTTAACAATAGTTTTTTCAGTGAAACATACATACGTAATACCGGTAACTACTTTTGTAATCGAATGAAAACATTGGTTTAATTATTTGAAAGTAAATATTTAAATACTTTGTTGCAGATAGCTCACTGTTGTTACCTACCTTGACCTGGACGAGTTGTGAACCGTAAATAAAGATCAACTGTAACACTAAGAGGATTCAACAATCGATAGTGTGAAGGAAGCAGCAATCTGGATTCCCCTTTTTGCAGGTTTTTGGTTACTGTCGTACTAGTATTACATTTATTTATATTGGGTATGTCTTTGGCAATCACCCTTAAGATTGATTCTTAGAAACACAGAAGAAATACCGGTCAATTAGAACTGGTTGTTTGACATAATGGCTAAAAAGAATTGCAATAGCAGTTATCAAAGTTGAAAACACATATAGTGGTGATATGAACTACGAAGAAATCAAGGGGTACTTTGGCCTGGAAAGGTTATGAAATACGACAAGTAGTCAACAATTCCTTATTTACCCTGGAACGGACCGATACACGGGACTGTGATTTATGCAGTTCTATGATTCTGCAGTTTGCAAGTTTTCTGGGTCCTGTCCTATCAAACATTATGTGGATTTGTTACGAGGGGAACCGATGACTTGTAATCTTGCAGACTCCTAGCACTATATTTATTGCAGACTCTAAAATCAGTTCATCTCAGAGTTCAGAAGGTATCGTACACCTCTTGTTGTTCCTTCATAACTCTTCTGAGTCAAATTTTCAGGTGATGAATCAGCAGCAAACACAAGTTCCAAGTATTAGTATTTTATATTACTACTCTTATTACATATGAAACTCTAGTCAATAGATAATCACAATCAATGTGAAATATATCATAGAGTAAGGGAAAGATTTGAACTTCAAAGTATGCAATTGATCATCTTTTGCTATGTATATGTTTATAGATCGCAAAACAAAAACATAGAAAAATATGATGGTTTTACAGGAAAGAATTCAAGGTGTACTTTGGTCTGGAAAGGTTATGAAATACAACAAGTAGTCAACAATTCCTTATTTACCCTGGAACGAACCGACACTTGGGACTGTGATTTATATAGTTCTATGATTCTGCAGTTTGCAAGTTTTCTGGGTCCTGTCCTATCAAACTTTAACGTGCATGCTTGTGGATTTGTTACGAGGGGAACCGATTACCTGTAATCCTGTGGACTCATAGCACTACATTTATTTCAGACTCTAAAATCAGTTCATCCCAGAGTTCAGAAGGTCTTGTGCACCGTGTGTTTGTGTCCTGTATTATTGTCCATATTTATTTATTGCATGTTATTGCCTGTTATTTTTTGCATGTATATATTGCCTGTTTTTTTTTTTTGCATGTATATATTGCTTGCCGTATTTATAGCTTGCATTTA